TGTGTGTGTGTGTTTGTGTGTGTGTGAGTGAGTGTGAGAGTGTGAGAGTGTGAGTGTGTGTGAGAGTGTGTGTGTGTGTGTGTGTGTGAGTGAGTGAATGAGTGTGAGTGTGTGAGTGTATGTGGCGTCTCTCACCCGTAGATCAGGCAGTTGTTCTCCCAGCGGTAGCGCATCTCCAGCACAAACTCCTGCCACAGGTGAGCCACGGCTCTCACTCCTCCGTGATGGAAGTTCACCATACAGACACACAGGGCCAGACGGTACGTCAGACTGTCGCTCGGAGCCGACTTCAGCTGATTATAGAGATGCTGTTGACAGGAGAACACAGTCAGACGACCACAAAGCACCAGATCTGAATCAAGACTGCATTTGATTCAGTGGCTGCTGGGAGACTCACGTAATCCTCCGACTCAGTCTTTTCTCCCGGGCTGTGCTGCGTGGATTTGACATCGCTTAAGTCTGTTTTATCCAGAGCTGCATCTGGGAACAGATACTGATGGACAAACACACAGAGTTCAGAGATCTAACTCTGAGCCGTTATGACGCTGACTGAAAAGAGGAAAAACATTCAACATTCAAAAAGAGCAAAAGAAACTTCTTTAAAAATGTTTTAAAAAATCTTACTGATCCCAAACTTTGAAACGGCTGTGTGTGTGTGTGTGTGTGTGTATATATATATATATATATATATATATACATACACATATACATATATACACACACAGGAGCTGATGTGATTTCAACAATGAATCATATCAATCAATCAATTATGTTTGCAAATAAGATTATACTGAAAGTGATGTCGTTTTGTCCGGTGCAGACGTGGCAAATTACTAAATATGCAAATAACCTGCACAATCATCTGGTCCGTTTTAATCAATGAATCGCTGTGAATCAAACAGCTGATGTGAGACAGACTCCATGACTCCTGAATTAAACATCAGACTCGTTTAGGGTAATTAAACGGGAGTGTGTGACACTAGTGCTTACAGGTGCCACCTGCAGCTCCTGCATCGCTTGTGTTCAACTATACAAGCTCACAGTAAAACACACAAACACTGGACACACTGGTTTTACTGTGTTATTACCAGTGATGGGGAAAATTACTTGAAAAAAGTAATCTGGTTACTTGTAATGCATTACTGATCATTCCACTCATGGTGACCCATGCATCGCCCTTCATCATCATCATCTGCCTCCTCACACTAACGCTTGTGCTGGCGAGGCGCGTGTAAATACCCAGCATGCTCTCTGTTTGAGCAGCCTCTCACCAGCAGGATGGAGTTGAGCACGTGGTTGTTGAGTGGCGACTCCTCGGCGCGTCTGTGTCGCCGCATGCGTTTCCTCGCGCTGTGCACCATGCTGGAGACGGACAGCTTGTGGATGGGGACGGCTGCGGGCTCCGTCAGCTTGGACAGCGCTTGAGTGATGTCACTGTTCTCTAGGAAACGACACCAATCATCATTCATTTCTACAGCGCTTCACTACACAACACAGATTCACAGAGATAAACAACAAGAGAATCAGAGATCATATACGAGGCAAGCTGTGAAGCAGCCCTACAGGAAAGAAAGAGTCATTCATTATTCAGATCAATTTCAGGAGGAATAAATGTCAGACATGAATGAACAGACTGGATCCTGAAGAACGACATCGTTATTGAACTGAATCAACTCTGATCTGAATAATGACTCTATTGCCTTCTGTAGAGATGATTTACAGCTGAAACTGAGTTTGCGTCATAACTGATGAATTTTGCATCATTAACACTGCTATTTTCCTGTGTATCTCTGTGAAGCTGCTTTGAATCAATCTTTATTGTATAAAGCCCAATAGAAATAAATCTGACTTGATTCAGAGCACACATGAAGCTTGATTCTAGTTCATATGGATCTGGAGTTATTGGCAGACATGTACATCTGCTAATTTTAGTTAATTAAAGTTTAGTTGAATCCAAATTGATTTATTTCAGTGTCATAAGGACGCACGTGTGTGTCTGGGATTAGGAAGCATCCTATAAAGTTTGTTTGGGGTTTCTGTAACTTTCGGTCTCTGATGGAGGAGAAGCAGAAATCCAGAAAGAGTAGAAAATCAGAAGAAACAGCATTCAGACAGAAAACAAAACCAGAGAAAATGAGTCTCCAACAAGACGCTTAACGAGAACTTCAACTAGTCCAGACATTTGTGGTTAATTCATGTCTAAAACAAGCGTTGAGAATGACCTTTCCCTTCCTCCTCGACCGGGTTCCTCCCCAGAATCTCCTCGGTGCTTTCCTTCCGGCAGCAAAGCTTGAAGAACTCCATGAGGAACTCACCTGAGGATCACGACAGCAGATGATGCTCAGTTACACTCATTCTGCTTATGTGTGTGTGTGTGTGTGTGAGAGAGTGTGAGAGTGTGTGTGTGACTGTGGATTGTCTGCTTTCCGCACTCGAACAGACCAGTGAGGAGCCTGAAGAGGATCCAGATCGCTGCGAGAGCAAAAAAACCACACGATCAGACGCTGATCAGCAGAGCTGGAGTCACACAAGCATCCTTGAGCTTTTGAACCACATTTAAACGTGTTTGTCTAAACGTATGTGAACGTTACGGCCTGCTAACGAGAGCGCTGAGCTCTGATGCCATCATGAACACTGCCAAACACGATGCTCTTCCTCAGTAGTTCTGTCACGTTTCCACAAATAACTAGATTCTTAAATCAAGACACATTTACTGGAGAAGCACAACGACAGAAGATACGAAGTCTTACAAATGAAGTGAGTTTATGCTTAAAACAAGAACAAATATCTGCCAATGGGATCAGAAATATAAACTTAAATCAAAAGTAAAACAAGATTATATTTCTGATCCCATTGGCAGATATTTGTTCTTGTTTTAAGCATAAACTCACTTCATTTTGATACAGTTTGCTGAAAACAAGACTTCGTATCATCATAATAATATCATATTAATATGTAAGTCAATATATATATATATATATAATATATTAATATCATTAATACATAAGTAACTTTGCTTCTCAGGTTGGTTAGATATTTATATTGGAATAAGAAAAAAAAAAGAAAAGAAAATGATTGTAAAACTTTACTCAAACCCTTTATGTGTGATGCATTATAAAGGTCAAGTCACCTTTATTTACACAGCGCTTTATAATATACAGATGATAAACAGGAAAATAGTGTGTCGATAATGCAAACATAATTCAATTCTGCTGTAAAGCAGCTCTAAAAAAGAGGACAGTTGTAAACAGGTATTCATAAGGTAAAAGGTAAATAAAGGTATTCATAATGTACGTTGTAATGCATTATATTATTTTGTAAATAACTGTAACCCAAATTAAAATGCATTATTTGAAGGTTTGTTTATCATGTTTTACTTTCTAAAGGCGAAACAATGAACAGATAAGTATTATAATATATTGTACTGTGGTTATTCGCGAGATCAAGCAATTCAGAATGTGCATTACAAAGCATAATTAATGCATTAAAATACTTTTATAATGCAATAAATATAAAGGCTTTAAGTAAAGTGTTACTGAAGTCGTTTGTTGCAGTGTAACCAAAAACTAAATGAAGAAAGGCATTATTGATGCAGTAAAAGCTGTCGGTCGCGAGCACTCGAGCTTGTGTGAGAGCCGTTCACTGAGAACGTTTGCTCATTACTTCAAAACCTCTCGCTATCCTCCAGACGAGCTGATGCTCAGCACACAGCACAGTGCTCATGTGACGATATGTGAAAATAATGCTCCCTCGTCTCCTCTCGCGAGCTGTGAAGAAGGATTCTGGCTAACAGGTTCTTCAGGAGGTGATGAAACACAGATCAGCTGGAGTCCTTCTGCTGCTTCATGCATATTCATGAGTTACTCAGTGCTATAAAAAACATTACATCGCCGCTCTATATTCATCATCCGCGGAGCACGAATACTGTGAGTTCTGTGAGCTTACAAATAAATACTTACGAATAAACGTCGTTATCCACCACGATTCCCTCCGTCAGGTTCGGCCACGTGGTCGCGAGATGCAGCTCGCTGAAAGAGATGCGATTCACTAACCATTCTTTCATCAGTTCATCATTCAGCAAGAAATCAATGCATGTTTGTGTTTGTGACGTCTGAGCTGAATGACCCAGGAACACTGTTTTCAGTGCTTCATTTAGAAACTAACTTCATTTCAGACTACAGCTTTCATCAAGTGTTTTGACACCATCTGCATCTGAATGCATGCATCTGTCAGCCAGATAGAAACGTTTGCATTGGCAACGAGCTGAAATTGTGTTGTTATTAATGTGGCTAGCTGTAATAAAGCAGCTGAGGCGTGACCTTCACCTGACGGGATCTTCACACGCTCCGAACGGAAGTTTGCCGAACTCCACGCCTCCCACCTCTCCAGCGAGGAGCGCATCGAAGTCTGAAACCACACACAGCTCTCGTGTGACATCAACTCTGATCAAAGTCATATAGAGCGGAGAAACTAATCAACTCCGGATACGCCTGGAATATCATCATCTGCCTGTGTAAACCGCTTCAGCGCTGCTTAATACACTGATATCCACAGAGCTGTTCTGATCCGGATCCATGGAAACAGAGAAAGTGTATATCTTCCACACTCGCCGGGAAGCAGACTAGACTGTAATAATGTGAGGGATGCAAACTGATTCCACTCATTCAGGCTTGATGAAGGTCAGTTTAAGACTTCAAGAGCATGCAAAGAAAATTAGGACACAAGACATTCATAATCTCCGCATGTAGATGTCTGAGGAGAACACAGTGAGATTCACTAGCAACATTTTAAAGCTTAAAAACACAACAAGATCTTTTTACCTTTTTAACACCTTGAATTCATTTTACAAAAGAAATAGCTTAAGGATTGAATAGCTCTGCTCAACTTAACTCAAAGGGAGAATGTGTTTTCATGCCCCATGGCAGATACTGTAAGCCTGTGGAGAGTGTTTGAGACGCACCTGGCGGCTGCTGTGGCCACGAGCACTGCTGCCAGTCCTGCAGCACGAAGGTGAAGCGGATGGAGATGCTGATGGGCGGCAGCGGCGTCAGCGGGCAGCTCTGAGACCAATCACAGCAAACACACTGATTACATTACACTTCAACTGAAAACAGAACCAGCACTTTTCAAACGCACCTTTCTACGGCAAATTCATGCAGTTAATCAACATCAAATAAAGCTGTAAATGCTTTCGAGGTTTGATTCGGTTCAAAAATGAGAATGAAGTCGTCTGCACTCAACTAGTTAAACCAGCAGACGCTCACTAGTCCTGATAGAACAATCTTCAGTATAGGTCATATTTTCAGCGTGTCTTTAAATCTTCAAAACAACTAGTGAAAAAGCGCTTTTATTAATTATTATATGTTAATTGTATTTCCCCAGACTGGAAAGTTAAGAATGACTTAAGGATGTTCAGATGGGAACGAGATAATAATGTACTCATGTTTGGCAGTGCGTGCAGCATTTAATGCAATGACTTCATGAATTTAAGACTTTCTGCTCTGATTTAAGACCTTTTTAAGGCCTTCATTTGTGGACGGGTGAATGGAGACTCTTCAAGAGTCACAGAAACTTGACATAAAATAATTGGACTGAAGAAAGACACTGGAGATTATTGACAAGTGGTTTAATCTCCAAAATGAAGGAAACGTCTGATATAATCTGCACATTTGACTATTCAAAATATCATTAAATGCTGGAGGGAAGCGGCATCTTCAGACTGCAGCACAGAATCTCCTCTGACGCCCTTCTGCTTATTTCTACAGTAAAGCGTCCCTCAATCAGACGCGAGCTGATCTGATCTGAACTCACCATCTTGTTCTTGAAGATGTCCAGCAGGCCGGAGAGGTGTGTGTACTGACCAGGAGCTGCAGACGCTCACTAGTCCTGATAGAACGATCTTCAGTATAGGTCATATTTTCAGCGTGTCTTTAAATCTTCAAAACAACTAGTGAAAAAAGGGCTTTTATTAATTATTATATGTTAATTGTATTTCCCCAGACTGGAAAGTTAAGGATGACTTAAGGATGTTCAGATGGGAACGAGATAATAATGTACTCATGTTTGGCAGTGCGTGCAGCATTTAATGCAATGACTTCATGAATTTAAGACTTTCTGCTCTGATTTAAGACATTTTTAAGGCCTTCATTTGTGGACGGGTGAATGGAGACTCTTCAAGAGTCACAGAAACTTGACATAAAATAATTGGACTGAAGAAAGACACTGGAGATTATTGACAAGTGGTTTAATCTCCAAAATGAAGGAAACGTCTGATATAATCTGCACATTTGACTATTCAAAATATCATTAAATGCTGGAGGGAAGCGGCATCTTCAGACTGCAGCACAGAATCTCCTCTGACGCCCTTCTGCTTATTTCTACAGTAAAGCGTCCCTCAATCAGACGCGAGCTGATCTGATCTGAACTCACCATCTTGTTCTTGAAGATGTCCAGCAGGCCGGAGAGGTGTGTGTACTGACCAGGAGCTTTACGCAGGTGCACCATCTCGAAGTCTGTCCGGACCCCGGGCCCCTGACACTCACCCGTGTACATCTTCCTCCACTTCTGCTGGATCTGCACGAACAGCGGCACCAGGCTGAAACACAGAGACGATGAGACTGAGCACGCACGCAAACGCACGCAAACACACACACGCACACACTCAAACACACACACACACACACACTCAAACACGAGCGATGGACATGGAGCTCAGCAGCAGGTTACACTTGGACTCGCTGACCACAGCTTCACAGTTGGCTCCTGGAGAAATCACCACGAACTCACGCACACCGAACCTGCGACAGAGACCAACGGACAGCGCTGAGAAACCTGCTCCGCTTTCAAGAGACGCATCAGATCAACCTGGAACCGCTGCAATTACACAGGCTTCTCTGAAGACCCACTCTGACAACATGCAGCTTCACACATCCCTACACAGACAATTCAGTTTTGATTTGCTGCTGCACTCAGACGTGAACGTTCTCAGTCTTCTTACCATCTGACGAGACAGTGAGCTCGTGGAGGAAAGTCATTGTTCATGCAGAGCAGGTCCTGCAGGGCCAGCGGACACACATCTGAAAGCAAAGACACCGCTCAACGGCAAACACACGCAGAAGAGGTCAAAGGTCAGCCGAGCAGGTCAAAGGTCACGCGTACCTTCCTCTGCTTCCTCCCTGCTTTCATTCTCAGCTGACTCCTGCTTCAGACAGTGATGTGTGATGGAGAACTTGAAATCAGCGAAGTTGATCTCCTGCGTGTTTTCCTCCCACGAGCTGCTGGTGATCTCACCCTGACAACATCAGCACTGAGTCAGAGCAGGTCAGCATCCTCAAACATGAGATGAACACTAGAACTGAAACAAGCTGAAGCTCTAGAATTACTAACTGGAAACACTAATCGGGCTACTTTAACACTGTTCCCGCGGGTTGAAGCGACACCAATAACGTGATATTTAGCCCCTGGAATCCAATTGGGTGGGTTTTGTTGTGAAACCTGGCAACCCTGAACCCGACCCGCCCTCAAACACATAATTTCTCTAATCTCTGGGAGTTCAACGCAGGATTCACAAACAGCTCTCTCTCGAGAGAGAGAGAGGAATCAGATCCCAGTTTATTTGGACCAGCTGACTCCACCGAATCACTACCTGTAAGTATGATAAATCATAGATGTTTATATTTTCTATCGAGCGTTCAAAAGTAACAGCGGAAGTATACGCCGTAGACCAATCACAACAGACCGGGCCATCTGACCAATCAGAGCAGAGCTTAGAGAGACTGAATCTTTGAACTGCTTCGAACTAATCGTTTGAGAATCGCTGGAAAATGAGGTGATATTAAATGCATATTTTGAGAAAACGAAAGCGTTGTTTAACCTATTGGAGGAGACTCCCACAAAAAATATTAGGAACCTCAAAAATGGCATAATAGGGGCACTTTAATCGGCTGGAATCGCGTTATAGTTGTTCATTTGAACTGACTGTCTGCAGGAAAGTTTAGATGGTATTTTCTTTTAATCTCATCTCTGTATTATGCATATTAATGTAGTGTTTATAAGCGCATTGCTGCTTTTTTTTTTTACAGCGGTAACCATGGAAACGCTGTGCTGTTCCATAAGCGTCACCTGCTGTCAGAGAGTGAATCTGTGTCTCATTCAGCCCGTCAGCTGTATTTGTTTCGTGCAGATGTTTTATGCAGTATAGTTTCACAAAACTAAAGTTAGAGCATTCTGTTTTTGTTTAAAATGTCAAATTATACAATCTAATTTAGATTAAAAAACTGCTCATGCTGCATCTTTGCTTGGATTGTGATTCAAATGCAGTTTGTCTTAAATCTAATTTTGTTTTAAAAAAATCGTGAGAAAACCATATCGTGAAATCAGTATCGTGAATTGTATTGCATTGTGAGTCGAGTGAATCATTACATCCCTACTTATTGTTTTATAAAAATTATGAATTCAGACATGCTACTCTTTTCACATATTGTTTTTTGCCTACTATATAGGGAAGTATGTATATTCGGATATAGGTGAAACCTGGCAACCCTGAACCCGACCCGCCCTCAAACACATCATTTCTCTAATCTCTGGGAGTTCAACGCAGGATTCACAAACAGCTCTCTCCCAGTTTATTTGGACCAGCTGACTCCACCGAATCACTACCTGTAAGTATGATAAATCATAGATGTTTATATTTTCTATCGAGCGTTCAAAAGTAACAGCGGAAGTATACGCCGTAGACCAATCACAACAGACCGGGCCATCTGACCAATCAGAGCAGAGCTTAGAGAGACTGAATCTTTGAACTGCTTCGAACTAATCGTTTGAGAATCGCTGGAAAATGAGGTGATATTAAAAGCATATTTTGAGAAAACGAAAGCGTTGTTTAACCTATTGGAGGAGACTCCCACAAAAAATATTAGGAACCTCAAAAATGGCATAATAGGGGCACTTTAA